ATTTTAGGAAAGGTATTTAACCCTAAACTTAAAGGGTGTTGGGCCGTGGCTGTGAGTAGAGAGGAGCAGTGATATATAAATAGTATTTTAGGTTAGGATAGAAAGGGGAGGATGGGCAGCAGCCGCGAGCATAGAGAGGTAACCCTAGATGCTTGCTTCAACACCAAATATTTGTGAGGGAGTGGGAGAGATCTTATCGCCTTGTGGAGTGAACTGTGGACGCGGGGAGAGGTTCTACTACTGCCACGGGAGGGAGGAGGCCTTCCAAGCATTCTAGGAATCCAAAGAACCGTAGAGAACTCTCTAAACACCCAGGTAAGGGGAGTAAACTAGAATTATTGTTGTACATGATGATTAATGTTTTATATATGTTTTCGCGCTGGTTTTCTTTCCTGGCATGAGGTTTGGTTCAAAGAGGGGAACCCTGGTTCCATGTAGACCTAGGGTGAGAGTGTGCGGGTGTAAACTGTAAAGATAGCCACTGGTAGGGTTTGGTTTTGTGGTGTTATTCTCGTTCAATAAGAGAACTGTAGAGAAATAAGGGAGTGAGTGCATGTGAGTCTCATCCTTTATCGGTTGCATCCAGTGTAGTAGGTTACGGTTCTAGAAATACCTGGGTGAGGGAGAGTTGTGTGGTTTTGGGGTCTATGGAGAAGAAAGAATGAATATAGAGTGGTCTTGGGTCTTGTAGAAGAATAGGTGTAAGGTTAAAATGTGAATGGAGGTGTGATGGTGTTACGTGATGTTAGGATGAGAAGAAAGAATAGAAGAGTGTTTCCTTTGCTTAGCTTGGTGCGTGGAGTTAAGGGGCAGAGAGGAGGAGTTTCTCTGTAGAAGGGTTGAATGATGATGTAGGGAAAGTAGTTTCAGGTTGATGCTTAAGTAAAGATTGGGTAAATGTTAGCGGTTGAGTGGAGAAGGTGGAAGTGAACAAAATGGTTGTTAGTGGGAGTTAGAGTCTTCCCGTTAGGTTAAGAGAAGAAGGAGTGGGTGATGTGGCCTGGGTGTAAGTGGACGCTAGGTTCAGACCTAGGGGAATCTAGGAGTGCATGGGAAGAAAGGACTTTGATGTTGGATAATGAAAAGAGTGCAGGGATTATTGAAGGAAAATGAGGAAACAGGAAGAAGGTTCGTGCTTGGATGTTACGTGTGGGTGATGTTGTATTGTGTACGTGAGAAGTGAGGTTCTAGGTTGATGATTTGTAAGTGATGTGGGTCCCAATTGGTGAGAAAGGAAGGAGAAAGAGTGTTTAATTTGGTCTCTGGAATAGATGAGATGATGAGGAATGATGATAAAAGGGAAGTGGGTACGTGTTCGGCGAGAAGAAGTATAAGAGAGAGAAAGAGATTGAAAATACTTGAAGGGTTGGGTTTTAAATTGTTGAATTGGGTGAAGCACTGTCACTGCATGGGGGTGTGTTTTGTTATGTGAAAGAGGTGAGAGAAAGTTAGTGGCGTTAGAGAAGAGTTAAGTATGTAAGGTGAGGTTTTGGGTTGATGATTTTTTAATGATATGGACCAATTGGAAGGAAAAGAGAAAGAGGATTGAAGCAGGGAGAAGTTTGGTACGTGAGGTTGCATGCAAAGTCTGGTAGGAGAGGAAGTACAACTTATGTAAAGGAGTAAGGAAAGTGATTTTAATTTAGAAAGATGAAAGAAGAAAGAGAGGAAGAGATATGTAGGGTGTGTGACGTGAGAATTAAATTGGAAAAGAGAGAGGAGAGAAAGAGTTGGAGGCACTGGGAGTTAAAAAGAAAAAAAAAAGAATTTAAAAGAAAGAATAATAAAGTGGAGATTTAGTGTGGGCCGTAGAGAGGAGAGAGAAATGTGTGAGAAATTGTGTTACAGGGAGGAGTTTTGTGCCTTTTGGGGTTTGAAAGTTTTTTTATTTTATTTATAAGAGGATTGGAAGGAAAGGGTGGGTCCCACGACAATTAAAAAGGAAATTAGAAAGTGAATACGGGGTTGGTGATTGCACATAAGGATTTTTGGACGCGGTGATGATCAGGGGTAAATAGAATTAATATATTATAAAGCCAAGTAAATGAGTAATAGGTAGGAAATCAAATTTTGGGCTATTTGGATTGTTAAACTTCTTTTTGTATCACTGTATTAAAATGGTATTAGAATGGTATATTAGAAAAGTTGAGGTTGGTTGTTATTCTATTAATTAAATAAATAAGCTGTAATTTAAATATAATAAGATAATATTCTATGAGTAAGCGTTCTACTTGTTGGTTTATATGTTGTGATTGAAGTATATCTATGTTTATAGTTTCAAAGATTAGGTTTCGACCCTTGTTTCGTTTTAAGAATGTTGTACTTTTGGGGAGAATATTTTCTGGATTTATTATTAAGTAATTATAATGGTGTCTTGAAATATTGGGATTGTTATGTTAATTCATACTTGTGAGACTGTGTATGGGAAGTAATGAGAATAATAATAATATAAAGAGGCTATTGGAAATATTCAGAGTAGATTTAATGAGGTTGAACTTAGTGGATTTAATGAGTAATTAATGAGAATTGTGTTTATATCTTGTGGTTGATGAATTAATGGCTATTATTGAGATTAAGTGTGAAATGCATTGAGATTGTGTTATGAACCTTGTGATTGGTGAGTTAATGTATAATATTGATACTATGTATGAAACGTAATGAGAAGGACAGTATAAATCTTATGATGAGTGAGCAATGCATGTTATTGAGAATATGTATGAGATTGTGATGTGAATATGAAACTATATTATTTCCTTGTACTGTGGTCGGTTATGGATGAACTTTTCGTACTGTGCTACGTTAAGAATGTGTTAGACTCTCATTTTGAGATAGTGATTCGAGTGTCACTTCCCTCTGCGCGGGGATGTGAATGTCTCGCCCAAAATGACTTCGGCTCGTGTGAGTATAGTGCTCGGTAGTTGCGCCTAACCGAAGTTTTTACTCGTAATTCCTTGAGAAGTTAGGGAGATAGGTCGGAAGTTGTGATGGAAGACGACTTGAATTGCCCTGTTTTGCGAAACAGGTTATGACGACATAGTAGAAGGAAATGACATTGGGTCATGAATGAATTGACTGTGATGTTAACGCTATAATGAAATATGTTGTATGGTTATATTACTTTGTGTTTAATATGAATATGATATGTTGTGTATTATGACATTTCTGGTTGCTCGCCCTTGAATGTTGTGGTTGTGGTTTCACCCTACGATCATCGTACTTGTACGGGAGTAGATGACTTTGCAGATAAGACTGGATCGAAGTAGCTGACGTGAGAGTTGGGATCTTATATGTCGGGAATGATGAATTATTTTATTTAAAAGTTTTCAGACTTTGTATCTTTTTAGAAAAAAGGATTCTTTGAGATAATGGTTTTGAATAGACAAAGTTTATAATTATGTTTTTCTTCCGCATTTTAATCAAATAAAGTTTGATTGTCTTAAAGGATTATTTTATGGAAATACTTTACGAAAGATTTTTACACCGTGACATCTCAAAAAAAAATCGGGGTGTTACACTAATTACTTTTCATTGATGCGATTACTTTACTTAACGCACATTTCTACGGGAGGAAATATCTCGTACAGGAAGATTCTGTCAGGATCTTAGCGTCTACTGCTCAACATGGGAAAAGGTTTTTGACAAAACTTCCATCTCCTAGAGTCCATCGTTCGGTTCAGAGATGAGCAACGACTAAAAGCACATTAAAAACAAGCTCCCCAGCACCACGAGAACGACCTCTCTCAAGCTCATATAAGTCCTATAGTTAACCTTGGCTAAAGCCGAATGGTTAACTCAAACTTGGGAGGCATATGTATGGTATATAATACCTACCGAACGGTTAACATCCATGACCGTTTGGTCCATCCACTACATCAACAATGTTGGGCCATAATTGGGCCAACGTCGTTTAAGTTATTATTGTTTAAATCATTATTGGGCCAAAAGTCCAACACACGATAAAATACACAAAGATATCTTATTAGAGATATTGATAAGTCGTTTATGAGTAACTAACTGAATCTCAAGGTAAGATTGTTTTTATTTGATCTATGAAACACTTATAAATATAATGACAGGGCCAAAAGCCAGATACGTTCGATCAGAATTAAAATACTCAAATGTGATAAACAATTCACTAAACTGCTCCTAACTTGAGCGTCGGAGTGCCTTTTGCAGGTACCTCCACCCTTGATCAAGAATACAACCGAGCGGAGCAGGCGACGGCCAAATGGAGCAATTGACAAGCGAACAGTCCAGACTGAAAGCGAGCGGTTCAGACGATCCAGGTGTTCGGAAGCAAGGAGGACACGTCAGAAAGGTTAGTCTCTCGGTCCTGCACAAATATCTACCAGTAATTATTAAGATATTAACATAAATTTTGTATTGGGTCTTGGCAATTGAAACTAGGGCTTTCTCCCAACAACTCTAAGCTTTCTTCATGCATTTTCAAACCATTTCTTAACGTTTAAACAATTTTGTTTCTTCTCTTCCATAATTAATTCACTTACTTAGCATTAGTTTTTCTTAACCTAAATATAGTGTGCACCTTCTTTATGAAGTCATTGAATTTTAAAATCCCATTGAGAAATTTATTGAATTTCAAAATCTGATTAAAAAACTCATCAAATTTTAAATTTCGGTTTAGAAACTCACCAAATTTTAAAATTTGAATAAGAAAAGTCATCATATTTCAAAATTCACAAAATTTCGAAATTCAATTAAAGAAGTTAAGAGATTTTGAAATTCGATTAAGAAAGTTATCAGATTTTGAAATCTAATTAAGGAAGTTACTAGATTTTAAAATCCGATTAAGAAAAGTCACGAGATTCTGAAACTCACCAAAATTTGAAATTCAATTAAATAATAATCAAATTTCAAAATTCGATTAAACCCAAAGTTCGAAATTCGATTAAAAACTAATCGAATTTCGAAATCAAATTAAAAAACTGATTGAATTTCAAAATCTAGTTAAAGAACTCACCAAATTTTAAAATCTAGCAAACACTTCTCATACATTTTGAAATTTGACATTCAATTCATTCCAATTTCGAAATATGATTAACACTTCTTTCATATTTCCAAATTCGATAATCATTTTATTATTTTTTTAAAATCTAGTATTCATTTTGAAATCCAACACTTTATCTTTTTTATTTTTATTTACTGATTTTTTTTTATTTTTTAATATATTTTAGTTTAAGTTCATTAAATTAAAGGTTTAATACCTTATTTGATCTCTAGTTTGGGGCGATGTATTCAAAGTGGTCATATCCTTTTTCGAGAGTTCACTATTGTCTCATATTTTGTAAAAATGGTTCAAGTTGGTTCTTTTTGCTTACGACGTTAAAAACCTAACGGCGTAATTACCCATCTGGCCAAAAGTGAATGAGGTAAGGTCAATTGAGATGTAAATTTTAAAAGTAAAAATTAATGACGTGGAAAATTTGTTTAACAGAGGGTTAAATGAAATCGTGGTTGTACCGTTTTGCTACTGCTCATGAAATTGTTGTTGTGTGCCATGACTAATTGCAGGGCGGAGGAAGTGAAGAAGTTCCCTTCTCCTTCACCATATCCATCATCTACCATTTTTTGACATTCATCATAACCATAAACCTCCATTCTTTTAACACATACATTATCACATCTCACTTGTACAAATAGAAAAACAACAACCCATTACCCCTTTCTTCATCTCGAACCCATAATCAACACATCATTCCAGCACCATCATTTTTTAAGTTCAACGCATACACAATAACATTCTCGAAACCCACACGATCATCATCCAAAATCTCCATTCTCTTTCCCTTTTTCCTCTGTCCATTCACGCATAAAGAATACAAAAAACAAAGGGGAGTCACCATTCCACCACTACCCAACACATTGAACGCTGGAATCACAAAGCAATTTTAAACAAGGAGCAAGGTAAGGAAAAATCTCAAATTGCAAGATAATGAACACCAAAACCTAAAACGCGAAATCAACCTAAGAAAAGGAAACTCAATTCGTAAACAAAGAAAAGAACCTCAACACATAAAATTCAACCCAGATTCAAAATCCTAATATGAAATCTCTAAAATTTGCAATATCTGAAACACAAGAAAAGGAACCCCAAAACGCTGCAATCTGAAATCTCCTTCTTGCGAAACACTTTCGAACCATGAATCCAATTTTAACACCAATTTCAGCAAAATCTTCAACCCCAAAGCACCCCAAATCATCCCAAATCGCAAATTGATTTTACTATGTTATAAGTAATTTACGTCATTAAGTTTTATTTTTAAAATTGACACCTTAATTCACCTCAGAGTGCTACGTAATGATAAACTGGACACCTCATCCAGTTTTGGCCAGGAGGGCAATTCTGTCATTAGCGTTTTTAACACCGTAAGCAAAAAAGACCCACTTGAACCATTTTTTACAAAATATGGGATGTTTCTGAACATTTGAAAAAAGTAAGATCATTTTGAACAAACCTCACAAACCGAGGGATCAAAATATGTATTAAACCTAAATTAAATTTTAAAATACTAAAATATTTACATATATTAAATTATATTAAAATATTAGATTAAGCTAAATATTTTTTAAATTTTAACTTAAAAATCAAAATTTTAAAAATCATGTTTGACCGGACACCTGGTTAATAAATATTCGTTTTGACATATATTAACATATATTAAATTTGATTTATTAATATTATTTATTTTTATTATTCCTATTATTATTTTATTTACTTATCTATTTTATTATTATTATTTTTATTATTGTTTTATTATTATTATTATTATTATTATTAAAAATATAATAATAATTATTATGATTAGTATTATTATTAGTATAAATATTATTTTTATCATTATTATTATTATTATTATTATTTTTCAGAAGTAGTAGTACTTTTATAATTATAATAATAATTATTATTATTATAATTATTATTATTATTATTAAGTTCATTATTTTCATTATTATTGTTATTATCATTATTATTATTTACTATGTGTTAATTAGTATAATTTAATATAATGTTTTAATTTAATTTAATATATGTTAATATTTTAATACTTCAAAACATAATTTATTAAACTAAAATAATTAAACACATCTAAAACAATTAAAAACAAACATTAAAAAAATAAAAATAACAAATTAAACGACAAATATTGATATGTGAATAAAATGTAATTGGATTCATATTTTAGTTTAGGTCATTTGCATACATAATTGTATTAATGAAATGATTTCACCATGTATTATCTTTATTTTGAATCATATATTTGGGTTTTATGTTTTTCTTGTGGATAGGTATTTCTAAGTGTTAAAATCACAACGTTGGAAGACTTAATGTTCAAGATGCGGAGTTGAAATTAGAGAGTTTCACAACTTAGCTGCGAATGTTTCTACAACTTGTGGATTTTGCTCTAAAATGCAAAGTCAAAACAAGAGAGTTTCACAACTGAGTTGTAAAAGTTTCCACAACTTGTGGATTTACTTTAGGAGTGCAAAATTGAAACTAGAGAAGAGCATAAGTAGATTGTGGATTTTTCCATGACCAGTGGAATCATTCAAAATAGTTACTAATCTCTCATATTACGTGGATTTAAAAAGATTAAAGAAAAAGAAGAAATTGAGGATAGTTTCTTAAAGAGAGTAACCACTCTCCTAAAAAGGGGGAATTAGACGAAAAAAGGGGGACATAACAATTGGAAAATAAACGCAGATCAGAGAGCATGGGAAATCATTCGACTACTTATTCTCCTTCCTTTAGTTTCATGTAAATTTTACATTATGCAGAACTAATTTTCCTTTTTGTTAGAAGATTGATGTAATACTTTGGATTATAACTTTTAAACCTTTTCAATTAATGTTTAGTTAATTTTAATTATTCCAATGTTTTATTTAGGTTCTAATGTCTATTCTATGAGCAGTTTCACATCTGGGAAATTGGAGATTGTTTGTCATTATAAATAGAACAGATTAGATGTTGTCACAATTGGGAAATTGGGCATAACTAATTAGTTTGCAATTGAGATAATAATCGTTCTTCATGATTTTTTATAAATATATTATCTTTATTTTATATTTATTTTTTATCTTTAGTTAGTTTGTTATTATTTCTTATTTGTATTTTGGGCTTAGCCCATATTTCTTCTATTATAAATAGAGGACTCTGTGTATACTCAATCCAAGGGAAATTAATCTCATACATAATTTTTGTTATATTCAACATGATATCTTGAGCCTAAGGTTCTTTTGAGAAATTTTTTTTTGTTGCCTTTACCACTGCACCCGCTGTCGGCAATGATGCCATCTACCGCTGTCAGCGACGCTATCGTCTACCGTCGTTGTCTACTACAATCACTACCAGAGTTCTAGTTTCGACCGACTATCACATGGTTTTGATCGTCTCGGCCAGGTGACCATCATGCCATTAATGACGCCTTCATTGGAGCTCTACGTGCTCTTAGCACCTTTTGAATTTGTGGATTTGCTCCCTTTTTTGTCGTGCATGGTGGCATTTCTAGTAGCAATTCAAAGCATCGAGTTCTCTTGTTTTCCTCTTTCAGGTTTATTGTGCATTGTCGCACATCCCGTCTTCTCTCAAGCAGCTATTCAAAGCATCTAGGTTGCTCTTTTTCCTTTTTCAGGTGCCTTGATTAGAGAATCTTAGATTTTTATGGTTTCTCTCTCCATCCATTGCTTCTTCCATTGTCGTCTCCTCTGATCTCCCTTTTGTCACCATTGCGTTTGACCCGTCCATATATGTTTTTTTCTCCCATGGAAAAGATGACATTTTTTAGTTTATTTATAGCTTTCCAACAATGACCTTTATCCACTAGATATCAACAATGCATTCCTCAATAGCGATTTGCAAGAAGAGATTTAGATGGAGAAACCTCCCATATTTGTTGCTCAAGGGAGTATTTTTGGTTGGTATTTCGTCTTCTGTGTCGTCTTGCAAATCATTAGCAATTTGGTGTCACTTAAGTGCAGAAACAAATATTTTTACTAAGTCTTTATATATTATTTTAGTAACAAGCTTGGTACATACGATTTGTATGCACTAGCTTGAGGGGGAGTGTTAGATATATATTATCTTTATTTTATATTTATTTTTTATCTTTCGTTTGTTTGTTATTATTTCTTATTTGTATTTTAGGCTTAGCTCATATTTCTTCTATTATAAATAGATGACTCTATATGTATATTCAACACAAGGGAAATTAATCACATACATAATGTCAATACCCAATTTCGTCCGGATAAATAAATTAAAAAGTGTTTTTTGTTTCTTTTATTTTTCATTTTTATCTTTATTTTATTTTTTTTATTTCTATTTTATTTGTATTAAATTTAATTTTCGTTTATTTTTTTATCATCTTTTATTAATTGTTTTTGAAAAAAAATGAAAAAATGAAAAAAATTGAAAAAAATGAAAAATAAAATGCAGTGGTCAACTAAGTTTTTTAGAGTCCTTTTTTGGATTGTAGTTGATTTTCCTCTATTCAGTCGAGGTAAGCATTATCTGGTCATTCACCGTGAAACTTGCAACAACGATGCTTACGATTCCCATGAGGCCTATCACGTGGTCGACTTTGCTCTTCTGGCTAAAAAGAGTTAACACGAAAAAGGGAATGGTGTTTGTACAGGGTGGCTTTGACCATGGAGCAAACACGAAAAAGGAAAAAGACACAAAAAGGAAATCTTAAGTCAGAAGATCGGCTTCTTCCCCTGGGTTCCCAAGCAGAGCTGGAGGAGGCCTTTTCTATTTTGGGGATGAACCTTTTCTTTGGGGGGAGCCATTTTTGGATCCCATAATCACAATTCATCTTCTGGCTTCCACCTATCACGCACCTCATTACCACATCCAAAAAACTCTTAGACTCCCTTCACCTCCAACAAATCCACCATTCACCTCGGACCCTTTTCTCTATTTTCCTACATCGCGCACATCAAAGAGAAGGGGATTCTCCCACTCAACTTCATTTTTTCCAATTAGCGAAAACCCCCAGCCCAAGCTTTTGTTGCTCTCATTCCATCTCCACACCTCAGACCTTCAGCGCCCACAAACTCATAGTCACCATCGCTCCCCGCCTCTCGTGACAGCAAGCTGTAAAAATTCATACTAAAGATTCGATAAATCTAAATATCTCAAACAAGCACATTTAATCATATTCAGATTTATAAGAAAGAAAGCGAAAGCAGTAAGACCAACCTCCAGCCATTGTTGTATGCTTGCTTAAATTCTGGTTTCTGAACCCTTGCTCTTAAAACACGATGGTGATGTATATGAAGTAAAGAGTAGGCTCAGTGACCTGATATGAAATTTTCTGTAGTGCTCCAAAAAACCATCACAGAGTATTTTTATAACGTTAGAAGAGATTGTTGTGGGAATAATGGCACACCCACAGGTTTGAAAACGGTTTTTATTTAAAATGGACCACTTTCAGAATATTAACTGCTTTTAAAATATTAACTGAAAAGGAAATAAAATAAATGGGATAGATATATTCTAAAATGTAACCTCTTTT